GAACGATAAAGAGACATTTTAGTTTTTGTAAATTTAAAGTTATTTCAAGCTTTAAAATTATTGTAAAAAGTAACTAACAAATATTGAAATCGTAGACTTAATTAAAAATTTATCTACGATCAATACAATAAATTAAAAAATAAAAAATAAGTATGATATTATATCAAATTTATACAGATGTAATATATGTTTTCTTTTCATACATGAAAATGAATCACATTAAGTGAACATAATAAAGTATACAACATTGCAAAAGATTTTAAAATAAATATTAATAAAAAAAATAATAAATTTTATATATAAATTAGAGAAAAATAGTTTTTTTTAAACTTAAATATACATTTCAAATTCTTAAATAATTGTAAGTATTATATATGTCCAGAAAAATATTCAAAATAAATAATAAAACTAAGATTACTCACATATAGAAATAAATATAATTTTTAATTTGTCTATGTTTCAAAATGTAGCCATACCAAAGTTAAATACACTCTCGTTTATGTCTTCTACAAGCACACATTTACACCTACAGCTACGCACTCGATTCAGCATACTTAAACAAACAAACAAACACACACACACACATAGTTCCTTAAAATCAGTTATTTCATGAAGAAATTTGATTTTTTTAATTTATACTGTAACCTATTAATTAACTAATAATTTAAATTTACAAAAAAAAATGAATTGGACGTTATTTTATTTCCATATTTTGTCTTAATTTAATTTATTTATAAATATTTTCGGTACTTCAATAATAAATTTATATGTTTTTTATAACTTTATATTTTATTTTGACCGTAATTTTTTAAGTAAACTGTGTAATTATGCATAATAATGAATATTCTACGATGAATATTTGAAAATATAGAAATAAAATTCTTCATATTTAAAAACTAATGTCTTCTCTTTTTATTATTTTAAATTACGTACAAGAATTTTATTAGATATTTTCATCATGGACAGTTTTACATATTTAATAAGAAATATCCGAACCTTTTTATACATGTGTATAGAATTTATAAAAACAAGAAACAAGCGTTTACATTACCTTTATATTCAAAATAGGTAATAAAAATATATTATTACTTGTAAGAAGTTTAACCTTCTCATTTTAGATGTTTTTTTTTAGCAAAAAGTGTATTTTATTAGAAAAATAATATATTAAATAATGATTTATTAAAATTGTGAAATAATTTCGTTTATTAGAGAAACTAATATATTCACAATATTTTGTCATATTGAAGATACTTGTAATTACTATTCTATAAAAACAGGTAGAGATGCTTTGTCATATTAAAAATATTTATAATTGCTACATTAAATATGCTTTTCAATTAATGTGAAAATATATATAAAAATATAAAATATAATATACATTACATTTTCAGTTTTTGTATATTTTTACAATCATACTGTAACTAATAAATTGATATGCTCAAAACTCAGAAAAATAACACCACTATTTTAACAAAACTTGTCGATGAAAAATTTATTTCGAAAAAGCAAGTCAAATATGGTAAATCAAAATTACATAATATCGTTGCACATATGTTTTAGCATTAAAAACAGGCATTGATTAACATCAAATTCAACATTATATCACTAACTAAAATATCATAAATATAATAAAACTTGAGAATGATGATTTTGAAAATTACCAGTAAATATACAAAATAAAAAGCTATATAATTGTTAATAATCTATAATAATTATAAGGTACAAACTAAAAATAAAAATTAAGAATTCACAAAATCAACTAACATCAACACGATATTTAATTAAACTACAATACAATAACTAATTATTCTATATGATAAATTATTTCGTAAAAACAGCAGAAAACTGTATATTGAAATTATACATCAGATGGTAATAAATATATTTGAATTTACCGAACTTATCAAAAGTTACTCTATAATAGATGCTCGAAAATATTTTACATGCAATATGTATATCTATTAAATATTTTATGAAAAATTGAGGAAAAATAACGATTTTATCAGATTGTATAGTAAATTGTATATGAATAATAGTATTATAAGATTTATATTACAGTGCTACAAGTATTACAAAATATATTAAGAATTTAATTTGAACATATTGACTTGAGATAGGCTTATACATCAATGAGTTAATAACTTTTTTGATAAGAAACTAACCGAATTATTATTACAACGCTATTAAAATTAATTTATCGTTTTTAAAATGCAAGAAAAAAGTTTTCCGAATATACATTGAACTTACTTATTACTATTACTTTTCTTTACTCTTAAACCCCTACAATTTTCAGGAAGATTCAATATTTATCGAGGGAGCTGCAGGTTTTGAACGAATGTGTTTATTTGTATTACTAGGCATTACTAGGCAAAATAAAATTTACGTCAATTATTATAATCGGGGCTTTTTACATTTAATTTATTTCTAACATATACATGTGATTGGTTATTTTTATAATTTAATTTTTATTAAAAATTCTTTTGATCAATTTAGTAAATTAATTGTAATGTTGATAAAAAGTGATATTACATTAGAAAGAAAATAATAGTATGAAAATTAATATAACTTATAACTTATATTGTAGAAAAATAAAGTATATGAAATGCTCTCATCGTAGTGCATAATTTTTAGTTGTTTTTTTTTCAATTTAAAAATATTCTTCTGTTATACATAGACATTAATTGTTATGGTAATTAATTGTTATATAAAGTGTTTCGATATGATTCAGTACTTTTTGAAAACGTGAGATTGATTTTTATAAGCTTATTAATGAATTTGTAAATAATAATTAAAGATAAATAGTATGGAAAAACTGAACAATTTAGTAAATAATTATATATTCATTTAAAAATCATGCTATTAAAAAATATTTCATGAAAAACTGGATTGATTACTTACTGAGATACTATGTTGTTTATGTGTATTATTTGATGAAAAACGTAAATTATATAAATATTACAGAGCTTATCAATATAACAAACAGCTTAAATTATTAAAATAAATAGTCGGTAATGAATTGTAAATATTAACATAAATAAAACAAAAATCTTTCAACTATTTAATATAAGAAGAAAGGTTAAAAACAAAAACAAAAAAAAACAAAAAAATTCGTAAAAACATTTATTTTTAAGAATTTTATTATAACGTACTTAAGGAAAAAAATTAAAGTAAGATTCAATCAAAATGAATTATTTTTATAATTATAGTTTTGTGTTATATATAATCGTGATAAATTTGTATAGATAATTTATATTTATGATTTAAAAACAAAGTGCATTAATACTATTAAACTTCATCGATAACTTAAAGTAAGCTTTTTCACTTAAAATACATACTCTTAAATTATTTTAGCCTGGATATTTAAATAGATATTATGCTTAATTTAATATAATCTGACAACATTTTGGGTAAGAAAAAAATATTTCTCTTTAATTTGTATTCAATGAGTGCTTTTTTATTTAAAATATCTAACGAATATAAGAATTTATCTAACGTAAAGCTGAAATGAGGAAAGATATTGTAAAATTTTGACTTGAATTTTAATTGAAAATGTTCAAGTAATAAAACACGCGCGCACACGATGAAACACAGAGTTAGATGCAAAACCATGAACTGTATTAGAAAATGGAATGGACAATGTGTTCCTAAAAATAGTCTCCGATACTTCCACAGTAATGGATAAATTTATTATTTGTCCGAAGCGGGAAGGCTCCCAGCTTATTTATTCGTAAATTAAAAAACGAGCTTATTCAACTAACTAACCTATCATCATTATAGACACGGTTTTACATTGTAGATAATTGGAAAATGTCATTGTCCGAAGGGACACTGAAAGTTTAGCTCGTTATAATATCGTTGAAGCGAGTGGTGATTATATAATTAATGGAAAAAAAGAATTAAAAATGGAATAGCTTTCCAAGGATATAGCATTACAAATATGTCACATGCCTCCGTGGCGCAATCGGCTAGCGCGTTCGGCTGTTAACCGAAAGGTTGGTGGTTCGAGCCCACCCGGGGGCGAAGATTTTTTTCTAATTTTTTGTTCTTTTATAATTCCTCGTAATACGAACCTTTTCACACTACTCACAATATTAATTGGCATTGGGATTTTGCATCAGCGTAAAAAGATTCCCATTAAAGATGCTTGAAGATGCGCGGGAAATTCTTTTCCTTCTTCTACTTTCTCATTCTCCTCTTCCTCTCTACCTCTTCATCCTCCACCTCCTCGTCATCTTTCTATTTTGCCCTCAGTAAACAATTATTAGTGCACTTTTGTCTATTAGTTATATTAGTTATTTACGTTGAAGAAAAAATAAAAAAACTTTATCTTTAAAGATAAAAATCTTTAAAGAGCTTTGGTATATTAGACAATTCGTTGACACAACTGAATTTTAGGCGCAAATGTTTTGTAATTGTTATTTGATAATGGTGGCGGTATCTGTTAGACGAGAGTGGAACGTTGTTTGGAGAGGCGATTATCGACACATTTTAGCAGATAATTTATTATTCAAGATTTCAATGAATCGTTTCTTTCTGTTTTGGTTTGTTTTTTGTTTTTTTTTGTTTATTTTTTTATAAAACTTTAGCGAATAAAATTCATTATGATTGGATTTTCAATTCTTTCCATTCTTACTTTTTTTCCACAAGGTCGGTAAAGTAGGTAAGCGCCTTTCATATCGAACAAACACTTGTTTAATAATTGTAAATAGAAGCTCAAATATAATGATCGATGTAGAGGAATGTGAATTTCTTATAAGATGCGGGCATTATTAATTTCATATCTTACGTAAGGGGAAAATCTATTTAAAATTTATCCATGTTATCGTTATATTGTTCAATGTTTTCTTAATGTAACTGTCGTCCGTAAGCAAATGATTTCTTTAGAGTGAGCTTATAATGAATACGATCGAAGCATAATTTTTATATATGCGTATGTCGGGGCAAAAAAAAACAAACATTTAGAGTAAAAATATTCATTTTTCATGTAATTGTTTAACGAATAAGGAAATACAGTTTTTTACATTGTAATATACATGGATGTGTTTGTTGAAACTCATTCGTCTATACAGTATCTTCTATACATTCTTCGGGTTCGTCGAACATTTTCACAAATAAAATCGCTTACTACCTTTCTCACTTTCGTTTAGCTTTCATTTGCACTCTTCGGCTCTTCCCAGGCCTTGAATTTATTTTCCCTTTGCCAAGCCTTCCAGATTTATTCTTAAATTTGCCCATTTTACCCGGCTTCCCAGGTGGCCTGTAATCCGATACATCAGCCGCACTGTCTCTTGTATTTTTCTTCATACCACGTTTCTTTCCACCAAAACCGAACTTTGAGTTTTTCATATTCCTTTTCTCCAAAGCCCTCTTACTCATATTATTATTGGGTTTCTGTTTAAGGCCTGATTTTTTCTTATCTTCTAAGAAATCAAGATCTTGTCTTATTCCCTTGCGATATTTCTTTACTTCCTCCAACAATTTTTTCTTTTCAGCATGCTTTTTCAAAGTGGCTTCGATTTGCATTTGCTTTGATATTTTACGCTGTACTCTCATTTGCCTCACCTTCTCCGAATATTGCGCCTGTGTCTGCTTTTTAATAAGATTCGTTTTAACTTTTTGCATGTGTTCGTCGGTCTTGGCCATTTCCGCGTAATAGTCTTCCGGTCGCAGCGTAGGGACGTTCAGCGATTTTAGTCTGGCAATTCCCTCGACGACTGCGCTCTGCGCCTGTCTATGAAACAGAGTCTCCCTCCTAAAATCATTTAAAACTGGATCATCGGATGAATCGTACTGTGGCAATTTTTTATTGCCCCGTAATTGTCTATCACGACGACTTTCTTGCTCTTGCATTTGAAGGGCCAATTCTGGAGCCATCGGCGCTGGAGCATTGATCAGAATGAGCTTTTCTATCCATGGCAGCTTTTGTCGAAACTCTTCTAGCTTCTTATTCAGTCCGCGCTGAAAATGACAAATGTAAATAAGCCAGCGATACGTAGACGAGCACTCGAGACGAATTCGAAAGAAAGACAAAAGGAAAAATGATAATGAAAAAAGTGAAAAGGGGGAAGAATAAAGCAAATATTATAGGATAAACATTTCATAATTAAAGGATAATAATATTAGCACCCCTTACAATATTGTTCTTCAATACTTTTTTATCCTCTTGTGCAACATTTAGTCCCGGTTTGATCACTCCTTTCGAGAATGCCTCCTGCAGCTAAATAACACGTGAAAATTTAAGGTTAAGTCATTGCAAGGCGAGCACGACCTCCCGCGCCATACGAGCAGGTGCTTAATGTTCAACTTACATCTTCATCCAACGAATCGTACTCCGAGCCCGACTCACTCGACATCTTCCAAACTGGACGATATTTTCCCAAAGGAATCTTAACGCACAAACAGCAACTGTCAAAAATGCTCACCGACCAACCGACCGACACTATCAACACCGCAAGCTCGACAAAAACAACGCACGTGCGGTTGCAGCCGTTGCCACTAGCAGCGCCCCGTAGTGCAAAAGTATTTGCAATTCATTCCTTTTAAAGTACGAATATGCCTGCAAAGACATCCGGCAAGTAGCGTTGCAATAATCAACCGATGTTGCGATTCTTAAGCCCGACCTTAGCGCTCAAATTAGCCGGGGACGGCAATTAAGCGGCCACGTTTTCATCAATTAATTACGTGCGCATTAGTCGCGTGCGTAGACAGGACTTGGAACAAGCATCGATCGATTACAATGAAATTCCGATTTTAGAACATATTCGTAGTTGTATTTATAAATCTTTGGAGGAATATTGGGGGGGGGGGGGGGGTGTGTGTGAAAACGAGGGCCTCGACGATCGATAACAAGCCAACGACGATTAACCAACTATTTAATCGCTCGAGCTTTGCGCTTACAGCGATATCGATCCAATAATTTACAATATAGTCACGGAAATCACGCTCCTTCACTGCATTTTCGCAATATTTTCACTATTCGAATTATTTATAATCGCTTTGCCCATTATATGTGCGGTTATTTCCGCGAGCCCGCCGTCGCGGCGAGTTAAATAGGACGCGTAACAGAAATACACTTAGCGATGCTCAAGGAATATAACGAGAGTCACCAATGGCGCTCCCACATCAATCGCTATAATTTAACTAATAATAATAATAATAATAATAATAATAATAATAATAATAATAATAATAATAATAATATTAATATTAATATTAATAATTAATAGTAATAATAATAAAATTAATAAAAAACACGAGAGTCGCTCCTTTTTCATCAAAGCTGCCTGAGACGACGCCAGTGTAGAGAAAATCGAGTTTATTGCCGTTTATTCGGAGTGTACTCGTAACACGAGAGCCTTCTCTCTCCTCCTCCTCCTCCTCCTCCTCCGCCTCCTCCGCCTCCTCCGCCTCCTCCGCCTATGCCGCCGCCTCCTCCTCCTCCACGTAGTCTCGCTTCGTCGAATGCCAATAACAAGGCGCTAAGGAGACGCGCGGAAAAAAAGACTGCTCGCGTATTTCGGCTTTCTACTTTTTCCGAGGATCGCCTCGGAGCTCCTCATCGTCATACTTATATACTATAATTGCCGTGGTAATAAAAAGGAAAGCTCGGCGGCTCGATGCCCGACGACGGAATAAAAAAAAAAGCACAGCTGAGCCTCGCGACGATAGTCATTCGCCGCTACAGCAAAACGCACCCGGGGACACACGAGCGGTGATCGAGGAGCGAAAGGCCAACCGGGAAAACATCGAGATTACTTAAAGCTGCCATCGCAAGGGAAGGATAAAGAAGGAGAGACGGGACAAAAGACAACGCGAACGTCAACGTGAAAGTGAAGGAAGATAAAGAAAAGAGAAAGTGGGTGCCGGCAGTGCATTAGCGCGCAGAATCGAACGGGGCAAGCCCACCACCTACGATGTTCCGTCTGCGCTTGCGTTTGTGTACATTTTAAGTATTCGCACGCGTCATCCTCCGCCCTTTTCTTCCCTGCTCCATCTCTTTCTCTCTCTCTCTCTCTCTCTCTCTCTCCTCTCGCTCCCACGACGCGGACGCGAACGCGAACGCGGCCACCGACACCGACACCGACACCGATACCGACACCGACACCGCACCGACACCGCACCGACACCGCACCGACACCGCACCGACATCGCGCCGACACCTCCACCGTACCCCGAATTCCCCCACGCTCTTCTTTCCGCTGCGCCAAATCTATCTTCGCTCCTCACCCCACCTCGCTTCGCCCTACCCCACCCCCATATCGCTCCCATCCCTCGCTCTCGCTCTCTCGCACTGCATCACGGGAGTCGACTCGCAGCTACGGCTCGAGCGGCTGCAGAAGGGTGGAGGGTGGGCAGGGAGGAGAGTCGTCATCATCGTTGCAGTCGCGGCACGGCGCCTTAGTGCGGTAGTATCATAACCGCCGGCATTCGGCGGTCGCTGGCCGCCGTCGGCATTTTTAAAAATAAAAACAAAACAAGAAAAGAAAACTCTTCGTTGCGCCGCGCCTCTTGCGTGTCAACATCGACAGGAGTTTGTGCGCGCGAGATTCGCGCCGGGCCCATCGAAATCCTCGCTCCCACCCCAGCCCCTTTCTCGCACTTTATCCCCACCCCAGCTTAACCCGTCTCACGTCCCATACCATACCATCCCATACCATCCCATTCCATCTCATCTCATCCCATCTCATCCCATCTCATCCCATCTCATCCCATCCCATTCCGTCCCATTCCATCCCATCCCCATCCCCGTCCCGACCCCCTCCCCATCCCCAACCTCATCCTCGTCGCGGTCCCCGTCCCACGTCCCATCCACGTCCCATCCACGTCCCATCCACGTCCCATCCACGTCTCGTCCTGACTCATACAACATTCGCTCGTACGCCTACTACAGTCGGAATCTGCACTGTTGGGAGAGAGTAAAACACGCGCGAGAAATTTTTTTCTTCGATATCTCTCGCTCTCGCTCTCGCTCCCGCTCCCTTCCCCCTCTCTACCCCTACCAATTCGCCCGTCAACGATCCCCCTCCCCGACAACCGCTGTCGCCATCTCCGTCTCTGTCTCTGATCGAGAACCGCCGTCGTTATATCGGGTGTAGACGTCACGCACGGAAAATAGTCATGGCGAATCAAGACAGCGAACCGATGTCACGTCTACTCAAGCTTGCCAAGAAGTTCAACTGCTTTTATTTGTCAGGTAAGTAATCGGCGTGCCTGCCTTAAAGCAAATATCGATCCAGCCCGAGCTTAACCCTTTATTCGTGATCGAAAGTTCCAAGAATGCCTCGACTGTGTGCCCAACGAGGTATTGATTTCGAGAAGTTGTTGTTATGCATTTCCCGAAACGATAGCTTCGGCGTGTTTGTATGCAACTCGCGCTCGCTCGTTTCTTCCCTCCTCTCGTTAAATGTTTCATCCTCCTCATCACCTTCATCCACCTCCACCTTGTCCTTTATTGAAACTCTAATTGGCCGCGGCCCGGTCGTAATCCTTATTTATGGAAGCCTAGGAGCGTACCTACCCGAAAGGTCCATCGATATGATCCTCCTCCTCCTCCTCCTCCTCCTCCTCCTCCTCCCTCATCATCATCATCATCATCATTGTCGTCTTAGTCGTCGTCTTAGTCGTCGTCTTAGTCGCTTAGTCGTCGTACCCCTTCCCCCCTCTATACACGTCGCATGTAAATGCGTGCCCATATTTATGCGTATGTATGCCTCTTACACGCATATTATGATTCCACTTTAGGACTGTTGACAGATGGATAGTTGTTTTTTTTATTTAATGACAAGACTTTATATATTCTTCTTATCACGCTTCTCCGTATCATTATTATTATTATTGTTGTTGTTGTTGTTGTTGTTGTTGTTGTTGTTGTTGTTATTATTATTATTATTATTATTATTATTATTATTATTATTATTATCTTTCGCCCGTAACTCTATTTATTACATCCAGTCGCCGAATCGGCAACCTAATTTTCAACAGATCGATATCTCTTTAATATTCTACCGAATATTATTTACCGAATAAAGCATGCCAATATAAGAAATATATTGAAAAGAGAATTCAGCCTGTGTTAGTCATCCATTTTTAACGCACTTTCTTTTGATGCAACATTAAACATAGATTATCGTCTTGTTGAACAATTTGCTTATTTACCACAAATAATGAATTCATAAAAACAATATTTCCTGTGACTATTTCTCACATTTACTTGTATTATCGTTATTAATAATTAACGACTTTAACATACATTTATCAAATTCAGATTGCAATTTAATTTTTGCCCCCATGAATTTTTGTGTATATTTTACACAACTTTTTCTTGGAAAATTCCCCTCCTACTTTCTGCACTTATCATTTTGCACACATAATATTATAATATTATTTCATAAGCTCTTTTAACACTGGTGTGATCAAATATAATTTAGTATAATTTTATAAATTAAATCAAAATCATTTGGTATTTTAACAATTAATATTTTCAATTGTTTATCCGCAACTACTTTTATTATTGTATTATAAATGTTACTAAATAGCAAATGTATATATGAGCAGTTCGGTATGATTACAATTTTCTAATAGATATATGTTAATTCTGATAACAGGATCCTTAAGGCATTGGATCTAATCAAGGCTAAAAATCTAGGATTTAGGAATTAAAAATAGGAATTTGACACAGAATATGCAAGATTTGGCAAAAATCCAGATATATATTTGCACTTACTTTTCTTATATTTTTATCTGTATTTTAAATACCTTTTTAATTGAACAATGATCTGATATGCAATATTTTTCTGTGTGCCAGGCTTTCATGCTGGCGATTGTCGAGCATTTGTTGTTGACGGACAACAAATTGGACTTGTTCGTCCTGATGTAATGAAAGAGCTTTTGAATCATCCACAGGTAAAATATAGATTTAATTTATTTGGAAATTGACACATAATCTATATTCGCAATTATCTCATATAAGTTAATTACTGGCAAAAAACATTGTGATGGTATTTTCATAATTTTATGCTAATAGCTTTTAATAATTTTAACGCTTAGATTGAATAATTCAAATTTTTGTTTGGATACCTTCCAAATACTATTAACATAAATTACAGTCTAATCTATTTTACTACTTGAATCAGATTGTTAATAATAAAATAAATCATAATATTTCTTAATGTCTGCTCAAAATCTATTTTGAGGTTGACTGAATTCAGGAGTACTTATTTTTACATCAATGTTTTGTACAAAATCTATTCCAAATCTAAGGAAATATCCAAAACAAATTTTTATCAACAGTGATACATTATATGAACAATTTTACGCAATTTGTAGATAAATTTTATCTACTAAAAGCAGGAGAGTTAAAATAAATAAAAAGATTTGTTCTTTCTTTACGTTTATGTTTATGTTTATGTTCATGTTTATGTTTATGTTTATGTTTATATTTATGTATTTACGACCGTCGGCGTACGTGTGTGCGCGCATGTATTGACAATCTTTGTAATAAAACAACTATTAATGAAGCGAATTGTTATTTTTAATTTCCAATTTGAAATTTTGTCTATGTAATTAAACCTCTGTTCGTTTGTCTTTCAACTAATGATATTAATTATTTGATTAGGTCTTTCAAGTACATCCGGAATATGTGCAACTGAATCCAGCTTTTCGAGACTACGCTGAAAGGAGTGCTAAAGTTGATGAAGTACTTAGAGAATGGCGAGGAGGTGGAAAATTCATTGCTTTGCATGGCTGGCGAGAAGAATACTACGATGTTCGAGCACAATTTAATACCCCTCCATTGTTCAAAATGGACCGTTCTGCAACATGTAAATACAGTTATTTTATGATTCATAGAATTGTATTGAAAGTATGTGAAAAATTTTAATGGATTTATCAAAATTCTAATCAATGTATTCATCTGCAATCGTCACATTTAGAATTTATTCATTTATTTCTGAAATATTATGTACGTAGAATTTGTTCAGGATTTATAAAATTGACATAGTTGAATTATACAGTTTTTTAAAATTGTTATGAAGTTTAAATATAACGATGCAGTTAATATTTTCATGTACTTATTCATAATTTATACCTTTACTTATCATTTGTTTTAGCTCTATTTGGAATTCGAAAATATGGAGTAGACATAAATGGTTATGTTATGGATCCCGTAAAAGGTTTATCAATATGGTTACAAAAAAGAAGTCCAAACAAACAAACATGGCCAGGCTATTGGGACAATTGTGTTAGTGGCGGACTAAGTGTAGGTTTTGGTATTAATGAAACTGCAATAAAAGAAGCTGGTGAAGAGGCTGGTATACCCAATCACTTGTTGACAAAACTGAAAAGCGCAGGCTGTGTATCATTGTTTTTTGAGAGTGAAAGGGGATTATTTCCCAATACAGAATTTGTGTACGATTTGGAACTTCCTGTAGACTTTGTGCCCAGAAATAGAGATGGAGAGGTAGAGACTTTTGAATTATTGCCAGTTAGTGAGTGTCTTGAAAGGGTCCTTTCATCGCATTTCAAGACTACATCGGTTCCAGTTTCAATAGACTTTCTAATAAGACATGGTTATATAACTCCAGAAAACGGTAATTTTTTTAAATCTTATGTTTTATTTTAAATTCTAGATTATATAAGAATGAAAAAGAAGGTCTAAGGTAAAGCTTAAATTATATTATTATTCGTCGTCGTCGTCGTCGTCGTCGTCGTCGTCGTCGTCGTCGTCGTCGTCGTCGTCGTCGTCGTCGTCGTCGTCGTCGTCGTCGTCGTCGTCGTCGTCGTCGTCGTCGTCGTCGTCGTCGTCGTCGTCGTCGTCGTCGTCGTCGTCGTCGTCGTCGTCGTCGTCGTCGTCGTCGTCGTCGTCGTCGTCGTCGTCGTCGTCGTCGTCGTCGTCGTCGTAGTAGTCGTAGTCGTAGTCGTCATCTTCTGTTTGATTCATAGTTAACTAATACTTAAATTATTTTTGTTAATAGATTACATACATTTATACATTACATAGAATTTACAACTATTTCCCTATATAATGTAGAAGCATTTTAATTTAATTACACGGCTGTGTTGTGTCTAATTTATAGATTAATACACAAAATCAGATAAAAATTATAATTTCAATTATTGCTGTTAAAGTATTTTACAAAAAGTATTTTCTTAAAGTGTTTTCTTTCATAAACAAGTTCTATATAATTCTATATCAAATTGTACAAAAATATTAAAATATTTTTATCTCAAGTTTGCATTAATAACAATACTGAATTTAAATATCAATTTTTTTTGCATATTAGAGGACTTATACTAAAACTTATTATACAATGTTTCATGGAAAGCAATTGTTTATTCATAAGTAATTTTGTAATAATTAGGAATTTGAAGTTTATAAATATAATTATTTATAAAATTCATTTTTAAGAATTAGATTTTGAGAAAATATATATTTTACATATTGACATTTTACATTTGTCTATAGAGAAATATCAAGATATTTCCTAAGCCTATAAAAATTTATAAGCCTATAAGAAATATCATTGATTGAAATTGCTAATTTTATTCTTTTGGATAATTTTCAGAGCCTAATTTCATTCAAATAATGGAGTTATTACACGTGCCGCTACAAACAATGTACAATCAACCACATAGAAAGCACAAAATTGCAGCTAATGGAGAAGCAAATGAAAGTTTAGAACGAATTTAAATTATAATTACTAGGCACTAATTTCAAAAAATGAGGATACATTTTCTAAAAAAAAAAACAAAAAAATAGTGGGTATCCTTTCTCTCTCTCTCTCTCTCTCTCTCTCTCTCTCTCTCTCTCTATCTTCCTCTTTAATAAATAATAAGAATTTCTTTACTTTTTTTTATTTTTCATTACAAATTATATAAATTGCTTACTGAAAAATTATTTTATTTCTATTTATTCGGTTTAGTGTTTCAAGGTTCTTAATTTTGACTTAATAATTAGTTTTAATTATTTAATTTGTTCAAGAACGTATTACATATATAATACATTATTCCATCAATTTAAAATGTTAAATGTTTTTTGCTTTGAGAAAAAACTTTTATAATCTACAAGTTTCCAGCAATGTTTTTTGGCTGGATAAATTAAGAATGGACTTTTGTGTGATATGGATGAAATAATAAATAAAGTTATAAAGCTACAAATTCATTAATAACAAAGTTGAATCACAAGTATATACATTTAATCAGGCGATATTATTTAACATATATTTTTAATAAAATTAGTACTTAAGTATAATTTTTTTTTATTTTAACTGGTTTCGAACCTTGATTCATATTGCCGAAAATTTAATTTATGAAAATAATATCATTAAATACTGAATTATCATAAAAAATGAATTATATAAAAACTTTCAAACTAACTGTTAAGGTCTTTAAAATTTGATGAAGTATAGTGAAAAGACAATAATATGAATCAAGAACTCGAAAAGTAAAGTATTACTATGGCATTCCAAATAAACTAGTAGAAATTTATTACACAAAAAAAATTTCTAATTTTGGTGTAATATTTTTTTTTAGTAAAGTGTTCAAGATGGGTCTGTAAGTCAAGCTTCAAACATCAATAGTCTTTAGTTATTTTTTTTTTTATGAAAATTTATATTACTTTCATTAATTAGATAGTAATGTAACGATATAATTAAATTATAGCCATAGTTAATTCTGTAAGAAAGCATGAATTGAATTTATGTAAATATAAGAATATTGTTAAAATAAAAAAGTAACACGCAACATTTTAAGTAAATGTGTATTTTTACATATAGTTTAGAAAAATTAGAAAAATGACTGAAAATTGGTAATATGTGTATTTAAATAACTGTGAGATAAATACAAAAGCTATATAAAACTAATTAAAACTCTTGTTGTATAAAATAATGATGAAATATGATTTTTCACCGTAGGTCCTCTTAAGCCCTGTGACTATTATATGCACAAATAAATCAATAGAAAGTCCATTCACAGTATTACGTAGGTAAATTTTTTTATTACAAGTTTTAAATATTAGAGAAAATAAAAATAAAACTATATTATGAAGAATGTGTTTTATAATGTGAGTTCACTATGGTGAAGCTATGAATTAATTGTAGTATTTTTATTAAATGAATAGTTTTGCAAGAAAAATGCAAAATGTGAGTTGTATTTATTATAAACTTGATTAGATAGAATTATTTTAAATGAATTAAAAATTAATATATTAAGCTATTTACTTAATTTACAAATTTTTAGTTGTTTTTTTTTTCTTTCTAAAGAAAACTTGGCAATTAATTCATGTCTATTAATAATGATAATATTTTACTGATTTATTCATATTATTATTTATAAAGTAAAAATTATTGTAAGCTATTCATTACAATAGAATAAAGATAATTAATTTTGAATCATGTAAAAATAGAAAAAATAAATCATTTTTTTAAATGAGAAATTATATCATAATGGCTCATGTAGAAAAAAATTATTTCTACAACTTTATATTATTGATTGTTGATAAAAAAAAAGCACAATAAATCGTGTTGATATCACTTTTTTATTAATAGAAAGATTTTGATAACGTTGATTGGAGTAATAGTTTAAAATTTTCAATAGTTGAATGATTCGATTGGAAATAATATTTAATACATATTATTTTTATTTCATAATATGAAATGTTACAAGTATTTAATATTATTCAAAATATTAAATTAAGAGCGCTAGTCATTTTTCAAAGTAATTATAAATTACAAAAATTGGATAATACAACGTAAATATTAAAAATATTCATTCTTTAATATTTATTGATAGTATCTATTTAAAATAGATCGACAACGATAAAATAATACATATATATATATATATATATATAAAATCTGATATAATTTTTAATTAAGATGTTCTATTAATTAACTAATTTGTGTTCATATAATGCTTAAGTAACTACATTATTCTGCCTATGTACTGAAGTTAACTTATATATAATATTAAAAATTAATGGTTTTGCAAATGTTTAATATTATTTTTGAAATACATAAAATAAAGAACAAATTATATTCTACTATAAAAGTTTTATAAATTACCGTTTAATGATATTTTTCTCTTTATAATTCAATTTTTTAATTTTAACTATTATACAAATTATTGAAAAATTAGTACTTCAATTAATGTTACGCACAGTTTTTAAATTTACCCTCGCTAACTATTGTACTTATATTTAACTAGTTAATGATTGTAAACTATATATTAAATTGCGATATACAAAATATAATATTTAATTCAAATTTCTTATTATAAATAACAGTTTATTTTCATTTTTTAAATATATATATATGATAGATGCATAAAAGAATATTATTGTTATTTTAAAAAGACTTCAAAAGCTAACAATTGAGATACTCTTTTTCATGATTAAGTATTATTTTCTTACAAAGATGTAATTTTAACAACTATTTTTTAAGCAAATTTTTATCAAAATGTATTTTTATAATTTAAAAAAATTAATTATGTAGAAACAGAATTTTTTTAATTTCATGTTTTTTACTCAGAGATTTATATAATTTCTATATAATTATTGAATATTAATTGTAATTAATAGTTAATAATTAATTTTCTTTCTAATTATTACACACATACACACACACACACACACACATATATATATATATATATATATATATATATATATATATATATATATATATTGTAAATGTGTTTGTATGTATTTGTATTAAATTTATTTTCCAATGTACATTTTTATGTTAAAATAGACTACATTTATCGATTCATTTATAATATATAAAACAGCCAAAGTTATTGTTTAATAAATTACAAAAATGTGGATTTCTCAATAAATTCCAGACAATAGTAATTAAAAAGCAATCATTTTTTATTTTATCGTAATTTAAATTTTGAAAAGTTAAAAATTTAAAAATTTGTTGTATGTTATAAAAAGTGATATATTTTTTATTTAATCTATAATAACTTTGTCGTTATTCATGCTACTTTAATTATTAGATAACATAATTCTATACGGTATATTTAATTGGAAAGAATTATTTTTAATGAATTATAAAAGTTGTTACACAATAGGCTAATTTTTTAAAAGAAAATTTTGTACAAATTTTATATTTTACATTATGAAGGATATTTAACTCTATTTTACATGTTAATCATACAGTGAATATATAAATTTCATATATAATTTAATGAATTTTATTTCATTATTTTTATTTATATTCTTTGACTTCATCGCAATGGAATTGTCACGCGCAGATATTCAATCGTAGGATGAAAATGCCATATTTCGACATTTCTACATTGTTGTATGGAATAATAATGCGATATTATACATAATTGACAAAAAAGAATAAATTGTATATAAAGCAAAGTAAGTTGTAGTAGAGTTTAGATTTTTAGTATATTTGATTTATTGATTTATCTCTTATTCGTTTTTAATTATTGTACAAACAACGAAAAGCGTGTTCATTTATGCTTATTTTGATAAACTGTGAAAAATGACATAATTTGAAAGTAATAAAAATTGAACGTAAACAAAATTCAATATTCGACAGTAAAGTTTACATAACGAATGTATGCAAAAAAAAAACAATTAAAAATGAATCTATTCATTATATGAAAAATCAAAGCATTCAAAAGCTTTGTATGTTTGTATTCTGCAATTTAACAATTTAAAATAACTTATGAAATAATAAAGTCTTATTAAATAAAAATTTATTCTTAAGGAAAATAGTATATTGTTTAAGTTACCTGTCCAATGTTTATTGATGTAATTAATACCTTTTGAAAGGAATATTTATTAAAATTTTTTTACAAATTTTTCAAGTATCCTTAAAACTATTATTCAATAATACAATGAAAACTTTTTAATTTTATTAGTTTATTTGAATATTATATTAAAGTATTTAATTACATATTGAATTAAAAGTTGTGAATTGTGAAAAATTTTCTGATTTCCGAAACTATTTAATACAATATTGGTATGTAGCTGTTAAAAAATGAACTTAAAATGGATGCTAAATCATAAATATAATTATCGTGGATTTTTTTTATCCATTAATATTATGTATAATAAATAAAATTATTAAATATTTGATATTAGCTATTGATACCAAATATCTATTCGCCAAACATCCGAAAAAATGCTAATATGCCCATACCATAAAAATAAAAAGATTATAGTTTATTATCGTACTAAATATATGTAAATATAATATAAAAAATTATCGTTTTTTATAATTATTTATGCACTTTGAATAACCAATTGTGTTAGTTATATAGAAAATTAATTTTATCATGCGTTAAGCAGTAATATTGTTTTAATGTTATAATTAACGTTTTGATATATTTGTATATCTTTTAGTGAACTACAGCATTTTGAATTGTTTAATTTATCAATAATAATTTTTGTTTTATAATTTTTACGCTATCTTTCAAATTTTATTTTTTGTCATTTTATCTTTTCGTCTCTCAGTTCCCTTTTCTATCTGTGTCTTATTACTTAAAAAGTTCCTGAGAAAAACTTAAAATAAAGGACTGCTAAATATAAATATTAGATACGTTGTATAATTGTGATAGATTTTATATTCGACAGGTTAATAAATCTATACGGTAAAATGAATGGAAAAATAACAAATATTTCATCGTATATTATAATCGCACATTTCATTATAATAAAGTTTTTTTATCAATATAAATAATGTAGTAATTACAAAGCAATACTTTTTATTAATGAGAATCCTAACTAAATTTATGACCGAGGTAAAAAAATGTAATCATTAATAGAATTTAAAATATTAATATCTATATTTTTATAATACCAATAAAATATCTAATTAAATATCATTAATATGTGAATGGTTTGGTGAAGATAAGCTTTTTATATATTTTTTATACAAATAATTTTCTATTTTTCTATTCATTAATATTTTACGTTATATTATTGTAATATTTTATTACAAATCTTTTTATATTACGTATTATTAAATACGCGTATAAATCATCTTATTTATATTGTATATTAACATTATTAAACTTCTAAAATTAGCTAAATATTTTTCTGCTTTAAGAAAATTCAAATTTGATAAAACCATAAACATTTTATTTAAATTATACTTGAAATTTTTTTTTTTTTGTAAATTTCTAACAAAATTAGCATTGCGAGTACAATTAAAAAATAATTTTTTTTAATGTATTTGTTATTTTATCGTAAATGTATATAGTGTAATTTTAATATATAAAATTAGAATTGAGTATTTCAATTTTTTACGTATATGTTTAATTAATAGTATTGCACGATTATTTCCTGAAATACAGACGATTTACTGCACATTGTTAAATAATATTTAATTTAGATTAATGCTGTCATTATTTATACAATTTAACTATACGAGAAATTAGTAGGTATTCAACATTATAAATACAATGTTGTAATTTTAACAATGTGACTAAGCCAACCATGTATACAAACGCGCACGCACACACGAGCATCATTATTTATTTCTTTAAGAAGTATATTTATAAATATATTTATCGTCAAACGCTTCATCAAGTAATAAAATGAATTTTCTTTATTTGGTAATAATAATGATATTACAGATTATTATTGAAAACTTCAAAAATATTCTTCAGAATGCGTGCGTATTATAATCGGTCATACGTTTAATGTTTATCAATTTCAAAGTAATTTTATTAGCCAATCTTAAATTTATTTTGCACTGTACCTTCTCTAATGTCACATATTACAATAAGTTTCATCGAATGCAACTAGTTTGTATAATATATCACTTTTCAATAATATCCCTTTGTTAAATTTGTCAAAAAAAAAATTAAATTAATGGTATGGAAGAAGTTATTTATTCGATATTTCAATTATATAGAAATAAACAACAAAGATGTAATTACTACAATGATAGGTGCATTGAGAATATAGAAATGGCAAAGGAAATCATTTTATTACTTTATTAATTTAGAACTAGCTTAATTTTCAAATAATTATATATTTAAATTTAAATAAAAAATATTTTCTTATCATCAAACGATAAATTAATATACGTAATATTAACTTACCGTAGAAAGGATCATACGAAATTACAAAAAACAAATTTTATATTAATTTATATTATCAATTTATAACATTAAAACAATATTACTGCTTAACGCATGATAAAATTAATTTTCTATATAACTAACACAATTGGTTATTCAAAGTGCATAAATAATTATAAAAAACGATAATTTTTTATATTATATTTACATATATTTAGTACGATAATAAACTATAATCTTTTTATTTTTATGGTATGGGCATATTAGCATTTTTTCGGATGTTTGGCGAATAGATATTTTTACCAAGTAATACAAATATATAGTCTAGTAGGTTTTAAAAGGAAATTATAACTTCGATATTGCCGTTTTAATAAAAATTTCTTTATTACAGTCTTGACGTATTTTATAAAATGTATAAACGATATTAATATAAAATTAATTGATTCATTCAATCTTATAATACAAAAATATTACAATCCAGTCTATGAATAAACCGATATTTTTAATTTAATTAAATAGTTTTACTATAATTAAAGACAATTTAGTTATCTTTTAAAAGAATGTCTTGGACATGATATTTTAATTTTGTTATTCATTTCTATGGAAACGAACAATTATTTAAAATAAATATTTCAATAGCTTTAATTACAATTTTAAAACTCGTCATAAATACATTTAACTTAATTGTAATTTTAAAACATACTTTTTTCGTTATGAATTTAAATATAAATTTTAGTGTTAAAAATAAGTATTCATAATTAAATAACCTATATAATACAATATTACATATTTTTGGCATGCATGAATTACAATAACTTATAGAATAATAGTTAAAAACTGGTAGAGCAGTTTTTTTTTAGTAAATTGTAAAATAATAATATAATTGACATTTATAAAATTACAAAAGAACATCGTTCCATTCATTAGGTAGAAGAACTTTACGCGCTACACATCATGCAACCCTCACTCCGAGAACAAACGAGAACAGGATCTTCTTCTTCATCTTCTCTTGTAATACCATTCTGTCCTGATTTACCGTTTGATAATGAAGTTATATTTTTGAGTTTGGATTTATCAACAGTGAACTGCAATGCATTTGCAGCTGGCTTTGTCCTTAGGTAATACATCCCAGTTTTCAAACCCTAAAAGAATATTTTAAATTTAATACATTACTTAATATTCTTTGTATTTTATGAGAAAAAAAAAAAAGAAAAAAAAAAGTGATTTACTGACAGTTTTCCATCCATAAAAATGCATCGATGTAAGCTTTTCGGCTGTTGGTTGAGCCATATGTACGTTTAGAGATTGTGATTGATCAATGAATGCTCCTCGATCAGCAGCCATTTTCAAAATTGTTTTCTGAGAAATTTCCCATACCGTTTTGTATAATTGTTTTAAGTCATCCGGAATACGATCTATATTCTAAGAAAATTTAATTCATAATATTTTCATTATATGGTAGATATTTTCAGACTTATCGCTTTAAAAATATTTAATATACCTGAACGGAACCATTGTTAGCGATAATTTCATTTTTCATTTCTTCATCCCAAATATTTCTTTCGGTCAAATCTTTTAATAAATGAGGATTAACAACCTGAAATTCTCCCGAAAGAACGCGTCTTGTATAGATATTACTCGTGTAAGGTTCGATAGATTCATTATTCCCAAGTATTTGAGCTGTAGAAGCTGTTGGCATTGGAGCAAGTAATAATGAGTTACGGATACCATCTTTTGCTATTTTATCTTTTAAAGCACTCCAATTCCAAAGATCTGTTGGAATTACATTCCACATATCGTATTGTAATATCTAAAGGAAAATGTATTATTGTTTCATATTACTACACGAAATATTATTTTATAATCTAAGAATTTTTAATATTAATTTTGAATACTCTAGTTAAGGATTATCTCTTTTTTCTTTTTTTTTTTACTTTCTCTTCAATTCAATAATTGCCTTCATAAAGTTACATATTCAATTTACAAAAATTTAATATAAAAATTCATATATATTTAATAAATGATTTTATAAAATGTATATTCAATAATTGTTTTTATATTAAGATTTGAAAATAGACATAAATATATAAATAAACATATAAACATTTAAATACATCGGACTTACTCCTTGGCTAACTGGTGAACCTTCGTAAGATGAGTATTTTCCTTTCTCTTTGGCTATTTCGCAACTAGCCTCCAAAGCTCCATAATACAAAGTTTCAAAAATTTGAATATTAAGTTTCTGCGCTTCTTCGCTTTCAAATGGATAACCCATCAACAAAAATGCATCAGCTAATCCCTGAATTCCAATACCTATTTATTAAAAAATTAAAATCTTATTGGAAAAAAAATTAATAATTAAACAAAGGATTTATTAAATTTTGTTTACCAATTGGACGATGTCTGAAGTTCGATCTCTCAGCTTCTTTAATTGGATAATAATTAAGATCAATAATCTTATCTAAATTTTGGGTAACAACTTTGGTAACTTCTTTCAATTTTTGAAAGTCATACGTTTTTTTATTGACATTAACAAACATATTAACAGCGATAGATGCTAAATTACACACCGCCACTTCATCTGGAGAAGAATATTGCACAACTTCGGTACATAGATTACTACTTCTGATGGTACCAAGATTCTTTTGATTTGACTTCCTGTTACAATGATCTTTATAAAGCATGTAAGGAGTACCAGTTTCAACTTGCGACTTTAAAATTGCAGTCCATAAATCTCTGGCATTAATTTGCCGTTTAAAACGTTTCTCTTCCTCGTATCTAAAAATTTTTAATTTTTAGTTTTTAATTTTCCAATTTATGTAATTTTACGTTTATGATAACATACGATAAAATATATTTTTTAATTATTTCGTGAAATATTTAATGTATTTGATTAAAATAAAATGGACATAATGTCATAGAAAGTTTAAAATTAACATAAAGAAACTCACTTTACATAAAGGTTTTCAAATTCCTGTCCCCAAACATCAGGCAAATTAGGACATTCGTGTGGGCACATTAAACTCCATATTCCATCATTCAAAACTCTTTCCATAAATAAATCAGGGATCCACAAAGCATAAAATAACTCTCTCGCTCTATTTTCTTCTTTACCTACATTTACAATAAAATAAAACGCCAATTCATAATAGAGAAATTTTTACTAAGTATAAATTTAAAAGAATTTACATCTAAAGTGTACGTTAAATGGAGAAATATAATAAATCTCAATTTTTATTCCCTTACATTTAAACAATTACAAGTTCGAATTAAATTTACATTAATTTTATTTCATAATTCGCACGAGCATTCATAGATTTACCTGTATTTTTCTTTAGATCAAGAAATTCAAATATATCAGCATGCCACGGTTCCAAATACATGGCAAATGCCCCAGGTCTCTTATTTCCACCTTGATCAACATATCGCGCTGTATTATTATAAACTCTTATCATAGGAACTAAGCCATTCGATATTCCATTTGTGCCAGCGATTCTAGTACCTTTTGCTCTAATAGTATGAACACTCAAACCAATGCCACCTGCAGATTTACTAACTAATGCACATCTTTTTAATGTATCATAAATTCCTTCAATGCTATCTTCAGTCATTGTTAGAAGGAAGCAACTAAAATATCAAACGTATACATGTATATATTGCACAAGTTAAAATAAATAATATATAAAAAATTATTAACTAAATTATTTAGCTACTTTAAAATATAAAAATTGACGACTACAAAGAAACTATATAAACGATAAAAGAATCGTATACCTTGACATTTGTTGACGTAAAGTACAAGCAGAAAAAAGAGTTGGCGATGCATGGGTAAAGTATCGCTCTGAAGTATAATTATACGTTTCTATCACCTTTTCGAGTTCTTCTCCGTGGATAGCAACCGCAACTCTCATAAGCATATGCTGAGGCCTTTCAACTACTTTTCCATTAATTTTTAATAAGTAACTTCTTTCCAATGTTTTAAATCCAAAATAATTATAACCAAAATCTCTATCGTAAATAATGGCAGAATTAATTTTATCTTTGTGTTTTTGTATAATATTATAATACTCTTCGGTTATCATGGGAGTATGTTCCTTGGATATAGGATCGGTCATAAAGTATAAATCAGACATTACATCTATGTCAAACAATATTTTATAAAGTTAATTTTAAAATTAAGTTGTCTAATAATAATAATAATAATAATAATAATAATAATAATAATAATAATAATAATATAATAAAATTATAATAATAATTACCGCTAAACACTTTTTTGGTTTCTTTATGTAAATTAGAAACTGCTATTCTTGCTGCTAATATGGCATAATCTGCATGTTTCGTTGTCATTGTTGCAGAAGTTTCTGCAGCTAAGTTATCAAGTTCCACAGTTGTGACTCCAGAATAAAGACCATTGATAACTCGAAATGTAATTGAAGTCTGAAACAACAGAAGAGTATAAATATTTTATTTCAAACATAAACATGTATATATATAAATTTGAGCTAAGGATAAGAGCGAATTTACAGAAGTGTTGAATTTCAGTACATTATATTTACTTACAGGATCAACATATTCCATATCTAAGCCATAACACAGCTTTTGAATGCGTGACGTAATTTTATCAAAATGTACCTCTTCCTTTTGACCATCTTTAAAATTAAACAATTAAACGTATTAATCAAAATTATTGGATAATAAATACCTAGGCCACATTATACATTCACAATTACTTATCAAACAGTTAATCAACAACACCCAAAGTTATTATCACATAATGACATTATTAAATAAAAATTTAAGCAAACATTAATAATCGTTTAAACTGTAAAAATAATAAAATTCTACTCACTTCGTTTAATTACATACATCTTCCCCTTGGCTACCATTGTCGAACAATTACGAGTAAACAAACTAAAGAATAAATTAAGCGAGTATGTGAAAAGCTCGCCAAAAGCACTTGAGAATCTTTCTTCCGAAAGTGACGTTCTGCCGTAAAGAGGCAAAACCGACAATCGGAGCCGTATTTCGCGGGAAAGGGAAAGTAGATTTCGCGCTAAAATTATATTCGTCACTGGTGATTGGCACGATATTTAAAGTACGAAGTAAGGATATGACGACACGAGCCGGTAGCGAGAATCAATAAGCAGATTGACACAAAATAAAACAAAATCGAATGAAATGTCTAATGAAATTAAATTTTCAAAGTTTAAAAATCACGAACTCAGTTTTCCTTCTTAATTTCCCTTCTTGTTCCGCCTGTCTAGATTTTCCCGTCACTTACCCGCGCTTACAACTAAAAGAATTAAAAGACATGTTTGGTATGATACGGGTAAAAGCTGTTAGATGGCGCTAATTTATCAAGGGCTTCTTTGCATTTCTTCTTAATAGGCGTTAAAGAAAAATATAAAATACAAAATGATTTTTCGTACAATGTTAATTAAATTATCATTCGTTATAATAACGGGTTAAATATAATTTTTAAAAGCGATATTATGTCTTTAAAATAAAATAGCATACATTTTATAAAATATTTCATTATTATATATGTAAGATACTCGATAATTACTTTTAATTTTATCTATTTTAAATACTAATATGTTGTATTGTAAAATTTAAAAAGTTATCTTTTTACTTCGCATTCATTAACAGTTTGATCTTTAATAACGTATTTCTAATTAATTATATATTTTTATATTTTTTAAGCATTTAGGAGGAATTGATGAAGATTTGAAGAAGGAAAAAATACACGCACACGTACACACACACAAGAATACTTGTATTTAATAAATTTAAAGAAAAAAAAAAATATTTTCTTAACTTAGCGTAAAATACATTCTAATCATCTAAAATTTTGCCTTACATAAAGCTTTAAAACTGTAGTTTACTAAGGCAATACCTGTTTCATAATATATTTATATATTTTTTTGGATTATTATAATTTTTTTCAAAGATACGGTAATACTGCGGTGATGTATTATTTATTATCCAAACGGATAAGCTTATTATGTATTTTATTTTTAAATTTTAATTATAAAAGACTCAATGTTTGACATCTTCACGATTAAAATCTCAGAGGAAAGAAAATTATTTTATATTACTTTCAGCTATAATAGTGTTCGTTAAATTAATATATAAATGTGTATATATATATATATATATATATATATATAAAGAGAGAGAGAGAGAGAGAGAGAGAGAGAGAGTGTGTGCGTGTGTTTAATTGTAATTTTATTTAAGTAAACATTACAAATATTTAATAAATGGAGAGAAATAATAATAAAAGGAAGTATTTTATTAAAGAAAATTGTAATAATTATTATATTTATGTTTTATATTTATATTAGTGATAATTAGTGGATATTTTTTTGAAAAAGATAAGATCGATTTTAAAACAAGCAAGAAACTCGTTTCTCATTACCAAAAAGAGATAATCGTGATACTTATAGTTTTAAGACGATTAAGTTATTCGATTTAATTTTATAAAAATAAATTAATCTGACGGATGTAACTAGTTTAATAGATAAAACGCTTTATTATAAAATTTTTAATATTCATTAAAATGTTTTTACTAATCTTAAATAAAAACATATTATTAAATTGCTGATCTTAAAAATTAATGGTTTCATTATTGTACTTTAAACTGAATATCTACATAAGGTAATTATAAATAATTAATTATTCAATAAATAGTTACTTGTAATAAATTTAAAAACCGAGTAGTCCCGATGTATATTAATTATATTTTACGTATTGTTTATTGATAATACTTTAAAGCATCTACCATTACATTATTAATTGCCGAATGAACTTTTATAATAATTATTTGATTGTCTATATATGTAAATGTAAATAACGTTTAGCAATTTTATTCTTTCTAATAGATAAAATTAGGCAGCACGATCCTTAAAAAAAAAAGAAAAAACTTTACATTTTAATAATCGGTAGTAAAATAATATGTTTTCCGTTTAATAAAACAGTTTGATAACTGCTTATAATAATAATTTTTGTTTAATTTAAATTTATTATGTAAATTCGTATATATATATATATATATATTTTATATATATATTTTATATTATTTTATATTATTTTATATATATATATATATATATATATATATATATATATATATATATATATATATATAATTATATATGTATAATTAGATACAATTAGAACACATTTTATAATTTGCAATAAAAAAATATTTATTGCATATCTTTTGTGCACACAAATAAATAATATAATTAAATGATATAAACATAATTGAAATTATTCGCTAGTGTTAAACTTTTATAATTGTACGTATTTATGATGACTTTAAAAACAATAAATATACTTTTTAATGTGTAATAAGAATTTGTTAATAATTTTTTATATTTTTCTTTATAAATTTTTTAATAGACAATACGATATACATTCAAATATATTATTCTTTCATTACAAGCGCAATATGTATTATAACCATAAAAATCTATTGATTTCATTTTATTTGAAAATCTATTAAGCAAAATATTTTTGTTTGAAATAAAATATTTTTCTTTAAGATTTAAACATTTATTACGAAAAATCTATTGAAATTAATACTTTCTATCATATCTATACATAATAATCAATATAACATAAAATTGATAAAAAAAAATTTAGAATATGACTGTAAAAATTTCAACTATTTATTTACTTTTTTTTTAAACTATAAAATTAGCAACTATTTTATTAAAAGCAAAGTTGAAAACAAATCGTTAAAACACAAGGAATATTATTTATAAAATATAATCATTATTTATTATGAATAGTTTATTGTCGTAAATGAGGGTAAAAAGACAAAATAATATGAATTCATGAATTCGAAATTTAGAATTTGTAATTGTAGGTTAAGTCATGTACTAGTGTAGTGCTGCGCGTGAGTGCGAAGATAAAACTTGAAAAGCCAGAATAGTAATGAATTAATAGTCGTAGTAGCGTCATCTCTGTTTCTTGTAGCTGTATAAATTTAGTAAATTTTCAAAGTGAAATATAAATGAAATTTTAGATATAGCTTGTTGAAATGTACAATTTTAAATAAACAATATATTATATTGATCAAACCTTTTACAGGTTTTTGTTTTTTAACATCATATTGCATTAAATTAATTTGTAATTTTTATTCAAATATCTTTTTTATTGAATAATAATAATTTGGAACATAAATTTAATTTGTATTGTTATGATTTAGGTAAATTCATTATGGATAAAGAAACAATAGATATTAGTAGTGAAACTACTGTAACAGAAGAAAATCAAGATAATAAAAAAGAATCTATTCAGCAGAGTCTACTTCCAATTGTTCGAGTTCCAGTTAAGCATGCAAATTTAGGAATAAGAAGTCATGCAATGTATGTAAAAGATGTCTTATGACATTGATAGCATTATATATGATATAATTATATTTTTAGGGATATGAGTACAATGGTGGAATTAACGTCATTTAGTACTTTAGGCAAGATTCAACCTTTCCTTGTAACAATTTCAGCAACCGCAGCTCTTCTTGTCGATTTACACTGTCATCTCACGGATAAAGAAGTTTGTGGATATTTAGGGGGACATTGGGATATTAATGCGCACAGTATGATACGATATACATCTATGCGTAGTTTCATACATATATTTATATGCATATAAGAAATAGTAATTTTAATTAATTTTATAGATTTGTCTATACTCGGAGCTTATCCTTGTCGATATGCTGGCAAAGACAAAACAGCAGCTGCAGCTGTAGAGGCTGAAATATCAAGAGCTATGGAATGGAAAAGAATGACTCTGGTTGGTTGGTATCATTCTCATCCTCGTTCTCACGCTTCTCCATCTTTAAGAGATGTCGATGCTCAACTTGACTATGAAATTAAAATGAAAGGACCTAGCGATAATGGATATACTCCATGTGTAGGTCTTATTTGCTGTGAGTAAAAAAGATTTTCGAACGATGCAATATTGGTATGAATTGTTACATTGTTACTCTTCTAAATGTTCACATCATAATAATTCGAGATAATGTAATAATTATAGTATTTTTACTTTAGAAGAATTTCAATTTATTTTATAATTTAGCAAAAATATTTTCAATTGTAATTTATTATTTTAGCTCCATATAATACAGATGCAAACTGTTACGAGTCCAATTTTAATGTTTTTTGGTCATTACCACCGCCTGAAAATAGGCCGCATGAGTATCCAAGGCCAATGCTTCTTAGCTATACTTTAACACAAGAGCAATATATATCACAAGATGCGCTTGAAGAAATTGTAATTATATATTATTTAATTAAATATTATATTGTTGCAATCGTAGTTAAATTTATATTTATTATTTCATTTCAGAAAAAGTGTATTGAATATTACAAATTCGAGGGAGGAATAGATTTTACCTCTAAATTTAATGGTAACATGACATATCTAGAGAGACTAAAGGTATTAAACATACTAATATTATAATTAATTGAATGTTTTATAGTATATTTTTATTTAATTTATAAGATTCTCCGAAAGCAATAAAGTAAAAAATTATTTTACTATATGATTTGATAAAAATTAATTAAATTTCAGAACTCTTTAGCGTCAAAGCTTCCAGGGCGTAATAATAGGACAAATGGTTCTTATTGGGATCTAATAAAGGAAATGATCGCACCTGGTTATGATGATGGCTCCGATTCACCATTCGTAAATATGAAGTTTCCTTTAATAAATGATCCTATTTTACAAGCAACTGGCATAGCTCCAGCTGCCAATGTGTTTCTTACTCCTGTTAATTTTAAACCTGAAAATTCAATCTCAGCTGTTCAAAAAGCATATGCAATGCAACAACAACAACAACAACAACAACAACAACAACAACAAGGAAACATATCAGACAGCAACAATCACATTAAAGATACCACTCCTTCAAAACAATCCTCTCATATAATTAGTACCCCAGATAGTATTCCTACCTTCCGGACCGGTGAATTAACAGTTTCTTTAAAAAATGCAAAGAATGATTATGATTACAGTCCAACAGACTTCACTAAAATAGAATCTATGAAGGGCCGAAGTGATTATCCACTTGCTGAACTATCCCAACCTATGAAATTTCCAGATCTCTCAAAACTAACCAGTTTTTCACCAGCCGAACTTGCAAAATTGACTGGTTTTTCACTAAATGATTTTACAAAAGCCGCATCCTCGTCAGCTTACGTTCGCAATATCGCCAGTTTATTCGGGCCTCTTAACAAAGGTATAGTCGACCCGTCTGAGAACAATGATAGGAGATCGAACGATTTTCCAGATATCATGACTCCTTTTAAGCCTTCAACGGCCTCCTCACCGTCACCTAAGGAATCCAGTCGCATAACAAATATCAGTTTGGAAGATTACTCATCGACTGAAAAGAAAAAATCATTAGAAGCGATGGATACATCAAGCAGTTTTTCAGGTACCGAGGACCTATCGATATTGAACTCAAAATCTGATTTTGGTGCTATGATCGATATGACGACAAAGAAGCAGCAGCATCAACACTCAGTCGACTCTGGAGACTCTCTGAACTTGTCGAAGGATCGGCAATAGCAAAGCTAAGTGAATGCCAAAGTCCGATTTTACCGACCCTTCGATTTGTAAAACCGCATTGTTATTATTCATAAAAATTTGCACTTATACGATATTATGAAATAGTCATAATATACAAAAATAACTTTTTCATTAATTTAATATTTAAATTTATGTTGTTTCAACATTTCTGAATTCCTATATTCAGCACAAATTTTAATAACCCTTTTATTTTTTTATTTTTGGATTTATTTATGACGTTTCTCAGTGATTTTTGGGTAATATCATTGTAAGCTTCTCTAAATTATGATTATTTTACAATTATTCCCTAGCCCCATTATTTTACTTCTCCTTTTCTTCAAGCATTTCTTATTCTTTCTTATTTATGAATTTCGCATAATGTTGATAAATATTTTTTTTTAACCCCAATATTTTCTTTCTATATTATGCTTTTAGTCTGATAGTATTATTTTAATATTTAATATTTTCTATTGCATATTTCACTATTACTGCCGTTACTATTTCTATTCTTTAGTTAAAAATAAAATTTACTATTATTCTGTAATTCTAGTCTGCTTTTTTTTTTTAACACTTTTATTTTTTTACATTTTCCTAATATATTATTTTCTAATATATAACAATTAAATTAGTATTTCATAAGCTATTCGTATCCCAATTTGTTTAATCTTTTTTCTCCACGTTCTCCTTTGGAGAAAGTAGCTCAATTGTCAATCAGTTGTGTTTCGCTTTCCTAATAAATAACAGGCGTCAGTCGATTTGCTCAATACTTTTGAATGACACAATCGTCACTATTAAATAAATAAAATAAATAAAATATATTTAGTATAGACGCTTTTCAAACATCTATGCCCTTATACATTGATTTTGAAAGTTTGATAACTTTAGTAAGCATTTTTAAGAGATCAATAAATACATTTGATATTTACGTAATGTAAGATTAAATGGACTGATATCATAAATATTGTTTTTTTTTTTATTTCTTTTTTTTTTTTTTTTTTTTTTTTTTTAACAAAAATGTTATATGTACGGAAATTAATTATTAAGGATCGTTTATTTGTAGTCTTAAGTTAAGAGTAAACCGTTGATTCATTTTGAAATTGAGTATTGAAAATATATCTTGAAAATATATATATATAATAATCGCATGTATTGTTCCTAAATATTGACATTAAATTGAAAGAAAAAAAATAAAGAAGAAGAAGGATAAACAGAACAAAATAATTAGCAATTACAATTGTAATGATATCAGTCGTTGATTTAAAATGCATTTTATACTCATTTTATTCTAAACGACTAAATCAATGTAAATGTTATTAATCTAAATTAAGATTTGAGAATTGACGATTAATCAATATATTTAAATATTTCATAAAATTTTAATTTAGTAATAATATTAATTGTATTTATATTTTGTTAATAATTAAGTATTGAGTTAAGATTTTGAGATAAGTGCAATTTTTATAATATTAATAGTGCAATCAAGTTGTAAAAATCGAAGTGCCGATAAAGTAGGATCCGGATAGCACTTTAGGAACATCGAAATTTTGCCTGAAGTGATTTTGAACTTTCTCGTTCATACAAACTTTCAAGTGTGAATAATTTTTTATACGCAAATATTGAGAATTTATTGCCGTCTTAAGCTTTTTATATGTGAAATATTTAATTTTATTAAATAATTTCAGAATATAGTGAAAATATAATACATTATTCTTAGGACTGTTTATATTAAAATTTAAGTTAATTATTTTTAAATGTATTAATTTTTAAACTCCAACTTTTTAAATTCATCTTTTAAAGTATTATTGTTTCTTTTCTTAAGATATTGTATTATTGTGGTTTAATTTTTAATTTACATTATCATAAAAATCACATAGATTTCGCTTTTTTCTATGAAAAAAGTTTATATTTAAACAATCTTGTTTAACTATTGTTGAGTGTGGTATAAAAGAAATATGTTAGTCTATATTTATAGATTCGAATGTACTTAATTTGTTAAGATATTCGGTGTTCATTTTATCAATTAATTTTGTTTATTTATAGTAAAATTTCTTTCACCGGCGATAAGTTTATTAGTAATTTTGTGTAAGAAACTGAAGTTTACATATATTGTTAAATTTGATATTGTATTGTAAAATAAGGTAATGTAAAATTTTGCGTTCCATTAACTCATACAAATCGGATTATAGGGAACAAAATCCAGCATATAATAATTGTATTTGAAGCACTAGTGCTGGTTTTTAATATTGAACATTCACATATTGTTTGCTTTAAATCATTAATCTTTAAATAACAGAAAATATAGATCTACATATATATATATATATATATATATATATTCCGAGGTTTTTAATGCCCGAGTTATCGTAACGAGCAAATTGTCTAGATCTAATTTATTGTTTCTCGGTATTTCGTGTGAAATCAGTGGATCAATTTCCTATCCCTGATTTAAACTTTTAAATTAGGTTGAGTTATAAGCTTAAGATACATAATGTCCATGTCAAGCTATGCAGCTCTTATTTAATGAAGAGGGAAGAGGATAATATTTCAATTTCAATTATTTAATTATTGTAAATAAAACTATATTGAATGTAAACGTTTTAAAAGTCTTTTAGAAAAATTAATTTTTCTACATGATAAACAGGAATTTAAAAACACAAGTGTGTGTGTGTGTGTGTTATAAATAAGAGATTGATTGTTTCCTCATACAATTAAGGAACAATCTTTCACCTAAAAATAAGTTAAATTTAAAGAACTATTTAAGAGTATGATTCTATGTAATTGTACAATTGAGGATATTTGCTTGTACATTAAATAGTAATAAATTTATTATGTACTATATTAAATATAATATACCAATGGTGATATTTAAAAAATGTTAATGATTAATTTTGTACAAATGAAAACTATCTTAAAAAAAAAAAAAAAACAAGTACATGTTATATCAGTATAGTAACAAATATTAAAGAAATTTGATAGTTGTAAAATAGTTTAGCGTACGTAACTTTTATGTAATTTTTCTTAAAAGATTTTATCTATTCAATAAAAAATACATACTTGTATTTCAAGAATATCAATAAATTTTAGTGAAATATCGCTATACTTGACTACTAAATATTCAATATAAATTAATCTTTTTTGTCTCTATGGTGTATTTAATTTTAACCGACGATAGTGTATTAAAAAATTTTATGAAATAATAAACGTAATAAAAATTTAATTAGTTTTACATTACTTGAGGCTAAGACATTGATTTGAAATTAAATATAGCAGTTCATAACGGTAAAACAACGTTCTTGGAATGAAGAATTATAAACTGTTAAGGCAGCTTGGCGAGCTGCATATTACAAATTTCTAGTGCATATCAACTGAATATATCATCGAGTGAATTTTAAATATCCGACTCACGGATGGACATTGGTATTAATTGCATTACATAACGGATCGCGTGGACACAAATACAGAATATTTTAAATTAGACATCTTAATTTGAGCTGAAACAGGTGCTGAATGTACTTCGATAATTAAGCGGACACCAATGATCCGATTGTATTCGCTTTCTGATTCTGAATTTCTTCATGCTACATATACTACGATATGTGGATCATTTGTATAATTAATTGAAAATCGCTGAGTGACAATTTTTTTTAACGAAGAGATTAGCGTGGATGTAAGACTTTGTTAATTTGATTCGTTGAAATTTTTTTTGTATATTCATTATATAAAAAAAAAAATGCCCATGTACTCTTTGAATAATGTTAGCAGCTCTATTTGTACTTAATTGGTGAAGAAAAATTTTAATATATTTATTTCTATTATTGCTACATTATGGAGAAATTAGAAATATAAATTGTAAAATAATGTAAATAGCAACTGCTAAATAGTATAATTAAATAATTATATAAAATGTTTATATAATTTGATATTGTATACTTTGGTAGACTATAAAAGAAATTAGATTTGTCTACATCTAATTTAATAGAAGTATCCAACAACGAACTGGTAGCATTAAACCATATAACTAATAATTTTTTAAGTATATTTAAATCTAAACTAAAAATATTAATAAAACTACTTTTACTCAATACTTCAACTATTTGTTATTTAAACTTTACAAATAAACGAATTTGTATCTTTGTCTTTAAATATGAGAATCTTTAATTCATCAATCATTTTTCATACTTTAATAGTTTTACAATTACTTTAGCACACTGAAAATGAGATACATAGTTTATTATTTAGAAAATGTCATTTACTTTATGAATAAAAGCGAAAATTTTACTACTATTATAAGCAGTTATATAAAAAATAAAAAAAATAATTTCTTTTTTAATTGACTGATATATATTATACTTATAATTTTGTAAAAAAAATTTATGTAACTTAATATTATCAAATTTCTAGCGAAATCCGATTATATTTTACAGAAATTTACAATAATTTCCATTTGAATAGAGTTAAACAGATGTAATGTTATTGAGTTAACTGAAACACATATATTTTATATTACAATTACAACTTATTTGAATCACTAGGAGATATTTTTAATATATCTGGAAATATACTTTTCAATTTTCAGACTTTTTTACACTATTATAATAGAATAATATAAAATTAAATCGTATGACCCCTTTTATTTAAACGTATTAAAAAAAAAAAAAGTATATTGCATAATAGCATTAAGAGTTGCGAATAGACATTAAATAATAACCGTATTATGTTAATTATATGTTACTAATCATATTTTAGAGAAAAAAAGCACTTTGACATTAAGTTAAGTGAAAATTTATTATCTCGGGTTAGTAGAATATTTTACGACTATATAAAGATTTTATTTAATTTAATTGTAGCAAGTTCGGTAATTTTGTATAATTAATATGTTAATTAAAATGGCATCCACGGGGCAGCCTAAAATTTAAAATAGTAATACATTACAAATCTATAAAAGACTGTATTATCAAATACCTATGATTATTACTAATTTAAATTAATTTTGTAATTGGATAAATGTGCAAGGATATATAAATCAGAGCTAGTAAAAATTCTTAGTTTATATAATGCATAAATAGTTTTACTATCCTTTTTTATGTACCTCTTAAGCATTTATCCA